CAGCAAACACAGCCCTTGTGTGGGCCCCCCCGCCCCCCCTCCGGAGCAGGCCGTGGGAGGGGGCTTTGTCCTTCCTGCAGACACCGAGGGAGGCCGCCAGGCCCCTTCCTGCCACCTGGAGCCTGGCCTGCCACAGGCGGGTCTGGACAGGGGCCGGCCCTGGCCTGGCTTCCTGGGCACTGCGGCCCTGAGAGGGGGGAGGGGCCGGGAGAGGGAAGTGGTGGTGGGGGGGAGCGGGCCAGGATGGACCCTCGGTCGTCTGCTCACGGCTGCCCCCCCGCCCCTCGCCAGCGCACAGCACGGCTGGGCGGGAAAGCCGGGGACCCCGGAGGGGCACTCCCCGGGCTGCGGATGGGCAGGGGCTGCGGACAGGCAGGCCGGTCCAGGGCAGGGCGGCCCCGTGGTCACGTCTGCACGTGGGTGTGGCCGCAGGAGAGCTCTGGTCACAGAGCTGGGCCCTGGGGACAAGATGCCCGGGGCGGCCACACGCCAAGCATGGTCACCCCGCCCCGCCCCCTGTGACGCCAGCCCCCTCTGGTGCCCGGGCCCCTGCCCCCAGTCCCCCCCGCCACTGCCCTGCAGGTCTGCCGTGGCCACCGGAGCAGGTGGAGCAGCTGGTCGCCGTCCTGCAGCGGCACCAGAGCGTCCTGGACATCCAGCTGTGTGGCGGCGCCCTGCTGCTGCGCGTCCTGGGCCAAGGTGGGCGCCCACCCCGCCGGTGGGCCGGGCCCCCCACCCGCTCACGCAGCAAGCCGCGCGGCAGCAGGGCCAGGCGCACCTCCGCGTCCTGCACGGGGGAGGAGGGGCTCCCCGCCCCCTGGTCCCCGGCGCTGGCCGGGGTTGACCCCAGGCTCCGCCCGCCAGCGCTGGCCCAGGACCCGGCCGAAGAGAGCCCGAGGGACGGCGAGATCGCCGCCTTCCTGCTGAGCACCATGCGGAGCCACCCAGGCTCCAGGCAGCTCCAGGTCATCGCCTACAGCCTCCTCACCGTCATCTGCGGCCAGGGTGCGTCCGCCCGCCCGCCCGCCGGGCTGGGCGGTGCGGGGGGCCTGAGGGGGTCTGTCCTGCCCACCCACCCCGTTTCCTCTCGCCCGATCCCTCCACGGGTGGGCACAGGCACCGGCCAGGCCGTGCGCCGGCGCCGGCTTCTCTCGGCCCGCTGCCCGCCGGCCTCCCAAGGCCCCCAGGGAGGGGCCGTGCCCAGGGCTGCACACGCCCGCCCCCTCCCCGCCGCCTGGTGAGGAGCCATGGACTCTCCCTGGAGGCCCGTGGCGGCCAGGGGCAGCGGGGCGATGGGCTGGACCGCTGGCCACACGTCAGGGATGCCACTGTGGGGAGGGGACAGGGCGTGTCACAGCAGCGAGTGTCCCCCGGAGCACCCGTCGGGCCCCTGTCAGGCCGTCCCGCCGGGAACCAGCGGGGCCCCAGGGGGCTCAGTCTGCTTGGCGGCAGCCCAGGGGGTGGGGCCGGGGTCCGTGGGAGGAACACGACGCTGTTGGGGCCCGGGGTCCTGGGGTGGGACGGGTGTGCTGGGGCTGGTGGCCCCCGGGACGCCTGCCTGGGTCGGGCCCAGCTGCAGGGGGTGCACCAGGGACTGCCGCCTGAGGACAGTGCGGGACAGGGGTGGTGCTCTGGGAGGGCTTCCTGGAGGCGGCCTCCTCCACGGCCCCTGCCCCACCCGCCCGGCAGGGCACGCCGCGGAGGAGCTGCAGAAGGCCGGGCTGCTGCGGCACGTGGTGGAGCACCTGGGCGCCTGGGACGGCCACAGGGACCTCTGCCTGGCCAGCCTGCGCCTGCTCTGGACCCTGCTGGTGGGCGGTGAGTGGGCCCCCTGCCCCGGCCCCAGGAGCGGGGGGGGGAGAAAGGTGAGGAGAGACCCAGAGAGGAGCTGTCCTGGGGATCCCTTCCCGGGGTGCCTCCCGCCCAGCGGGACTGCCAGCTCCCACATCCTGGGATTTCCCCACAGCCCCTGGTTTAGGAAGTCAGCCCCCCCACCCCCCACCAGTGATGCAGAGACGGCCCGGCCAGGAAGTGGGGCCTCAGTTACGATAGGCGTGAAGAGGCCCCCACTCCCAGACCCACTGGTACTAGACCAAGGTCACAGACAGAGGGAGACTCTTGCCAGCAGCAGGGAAAGGACAAAGCCAGTCCCGGAAGGTGGCCAGACGGGAGGCTGGGGGGAGGCTGGGGGGGGCCCGGGGAAGGGGCGGTGCCCCGAGGGAGTGGGCGTGCTGGGTGGGGGGCTGGGGGAGGAGGAAAACCAGGACAGCGTGATCAGTAAAAGAGATGGGCCCCCGCCACGCCGCCCCTCTCCCCAGGCCCCCTGGGTTTGGCAGCACCTGGGGGTGGCTCTGCCCAGGGAGGGAGGGAGGGAGGCTCCCGGCCAGGAGGGCGCAGAGCCGGAGAAGGCCCCGCCCACACCCGAGCCCCGCCTTGGGACTCCAGAGAACCCCCCCCAGTGTCCGTGGTGGGCTGGAAAGCAGCCCCCCGCCAGCCACCTTCCCGTCTCTGAGGACAGCTGACAGGGTCCCCCAAGCTCCCGCTCTGCTGGCCTTGGTGGGAGGCAGCGGTGGGGGCCTCACCCACAGGCCTGCAGGCGCCCGAGGGTGGGGTGTCTGTCCCCTGTCCTGGCTCCAGCTGATACCTCGAGCAAGGACCTGTTGAAGAAAGCCCCGGACTCCATCACCAAGTTGCTGGCCACCTACCCCACGGACGCGGACATAGCCGAAGCCGGCTGCGCGATCCTCTGGCTGCTGTCCATGCTGGGTGAGCCCCCCGGGCCGGGGCCCCGGGGTCCGGGGGCGGCCCTGGGCCCCTGGGGTGACGCGCGGCCCCCTCCGCAGGCTGCATCGAGGAGCCCCTGTTCGAGGAGGTGGTGTCTCTGCTCCTGCAGAGCGTCCGGCTGCGCCAGGACGGGGTGCTGCTGGTGAACAACGCCTATCGGGCGCTGGCTGGCCTCGCCCAGGTGTCCGGTGAGCCCGGGCGGCAGAGCGGCCGCCCGCCGCTGGGAGGCAAGGGGGAAACCGGCTGCCCCCCCCCTCCCCGGGGCAAGGCACCCAAAAAGGAAGAGGAGCAAACTCTGTCCCTGGGACCCAGGGGTTGCCATGGAGACACACACACACACTTGTTAACTTTTTCCCTTTCGCTCAACGCTTCCTCGGGCCGTCCTTGTCCGTGGCGAGTGGGCCCAGGTCTTCCGGGCACCTTGCTCCTCCAAACCGCCCAGGAGGCAGGGTTGTCTCAGGGCCCAGCCCCAGCATGAACCCCGAGGTGTTGCCCCTGCCCAGCCCTAGCCCGCCAGGGTCGCCAGCCGGTGTGCGTGGGAGCTCCCGCCCCTGCCCCCCGGGTCTGGGCCTGTCCCTGTGCGCAGCCTGGCCAAGCTCAGCCCCACGGTGCCTGGGCCTGAAGAGGGGAGCGGGGCCGCCTCCACTCCCGGGAGGGGCTCGGGGGGCCTGGCAGTTCTTCCCTCTCGGGCGGAGGCACCCGGGGCTGCAGGCCTGCCCCACCCCGCCCGGGGCCCCCCAGCTCCAGACTGCAGTGGAGGCGAGCGCCACCCTCAGGCGACAGAGAAGGGGCTGAGGTCCCAAGGGCCACCGCCGGGCGCACGAGGGGCGGGGTTGTCAGGACCCAGTGACCAGGACCCCAGAGGCCTGGCCACCTGCTGGTTGTGTGGCTGCCCGGCCACTGCCATGGAGAGTCGGTTCCCCTGGCCCCAGGAGGGCATGTGACAGGACGTCCAGGCAGCACCGTGATCCTTGTGTCCACAGGCCCCGCCCACAGCACAGGGCGAGGCTGGGAGCCCCGTGTTCCCACCAGGAAGTGAGGTGGCAGCTGCCCTACACCTGCGGGAGGGGGCTGTGACCTCGGAGGCGCCCAGGCCTCGGGAGACCGTGCCCACCTCTGCCAGCGCCAAGGCCAGTGCAGCCCCAACACTCTGCCCTCAACAGCCCTAAGGCCCCGGCACCCGACTGCGCCCGTTGCCGGAGGACGGGGAGCTGGGCAGCTGCAGGGAATGACCGGTCCCTGCCTCCCCTCGCCCCAGAGCTGGCGGCGCTGCGGGTGGTGGTGCCCGAGGCGCAGGGCAGCGGCCTGGCCCTGGTCCAGGAGACCTACGCGCGGCACAGGGACGACCCAGAGGTGGTGGAGAACGTGTGTTGGCTGCTGGTGCAGCTCGCCTCCCACCGTGAGTGCCGGCCAGCCGGCCACACCGCCCTCGGGGGTGGGGGCGAGGGGGCGCGGGGGCGGCTGCTCCCAGCCTGCCTGGTGGGAGGGGTCCCCCCCCCCAGACAGGGCCAGAGCCCACTGTGCACGGAGCCCACCCAGGCTGAGCCTGAGCCCCAGCGGGAGGGACCCAGCCTTGTCCTGCCAGCCCCTCCCCCGAAGCGCCTGAGCTGGGCCTGGGGCAGCGGGCTGGTGGGGCGCTGCAGGCCAGGGGACCCTCGCTGTGCCTGCAGGGGACATCCTCTGTGAGCTGGCATCCAACGGCATCGGGGCCCTGGCCCAGGAGATCAAGGAGCGCTTCCCCTCCAGCCTGGTGAGTGCACAGGGTGGGGGGGGCGCCCCCTGGGGGCCAGGCTCCTGCAGCAGGAGCCCCCCACAAGCCTGATGCCCCACCCCCGAGCTGAAGGGGAGGGGCAGGCAGGCCCGGTCGGAGGGCTGGGTCAGGTCACAGTGGCTCCTTGGGAAGGAGCTGCCCGTGGAAAGTGACCTGCCGAGTGTCCCCTCTGTTCCCAGGAGCTGGTCTCGTACGCAGAAAGCCTGCTCCTGAGACTGGGCGAGGCCGGGCTGCCCTGCTCTGCTGGGGGGCCGGAGGCTCCGGCCTGAGGACCCAGACACCCCGCCAGCGGCCGGAGCCCCCTCCCGGAGCCGTGCACCTGAAGGGCATTCTCCTTGGGGCGGGGCGGGCAGCCTCAGCCCTGGCTCGATCGGGTGGCTGCACTGGACCCGCGGGCCTCCCGACCACCCTGAACAGGGGACGAAACAGGACCCGCCTGAGTCAAGCCTCGTTTATTCGTTCCTCCGCCCGGGCCTCTCCGTGCCGCCGGCAGGGGCAGGGCAGGGGCAGCGTCGCCTTGGCCTTTGCGCACGCGGCGGCTCCTCAGGGACCCCGGGCCAGTGTGCACGGGGGAGGCGCCGCCCCAGGGACTAGCCGGCGCCACCTCGCTCGGGGCCACGGTGGGCCCTGGCCTCACGCAGCCCGGCAGGCGGTGGCGGAGGGGCAGGAAGGAGCACGGCTCCCGGGAGTCTCCCAGTCCAGAGGTGGCCACAGACAACTCATGGCGGGGCTGCGGCCGAGCTGACCAGGACGCCGGCCTGGCCCCTTGAGTCGGTGGTGACAGGAGAGTGGCCTCCTCGAAGGGAGGTGCTGGACCCAGGGGACAGCTGGGCGCTCCCTGCCCTGGGGCGCGGTGGGGGCGGGACGGCGCAGGCACGGCCCCGACTCCCGTCCTGACGTAGCGACGTCCTGACGTCCTGACGTCCTGACTCTGGGGGCCGGGCCGCCGCCTCCGCACGTGTCCCCCTGCCCCCCGCCAGCGGGGCGGGGCTTGGACAGACAGATGGGAGGAAAGCTGTTCTCAGGAGCGTGTGCGCCGCCGTGCCGTGGCCACGATTCTGCCACCGCTCTGGGGAGACGCGGTCTGCCCCATGGCGTGGTCACAAGTGCCGCTGGACGGGGTCGCTGCCCCGGGGCGCGGTGCTGTCCCCACAGCAGCGGCGGCCGGGCGCCGGTCCCGGGCCTGGCGCTCCCACTCCTTCCTCACCAGCACGTAGAGTCGCATCGCTGCCTGGGCGTCCTGGACCTGGGTGACACCGAGCACCCGTGACTGTCCCAGCAGGTGACAGCACGGCCTCACGACAGACAGTGGGTGGGTGAGGAGGGAGCCGAGCAGGGCGGCTCCTGCGACTCGGGGCCCTGGGCACAGACGGGACCTCGGGGTGTGGGGGGACCGCTGTGCTCCTGGTGAGGGGCCTGCAGGGATGGCACAGGTCAGGAGCGCGGCGGGGGGACGGAGGAACGGATGGGGGGACGGGGGTACAGCGTGCCCCGAACCTGACGCTGGGGCATGGGGGGCCTGGAGGGCAGAGCCCGGAGACCACAGCACAGCAGCGCCGGGTCCCGGGACCCAGGGGCCCACACCCCTGCGCCCGTCACCAGGGCCCCTCCCAGAGGCGCCCCGGCCACTGCCCGTCGGGGAGTGAGGGCGCAGTGTGACAGCTGGGGTCTGACCCTCTATGAACGCCCCCGCCCAGCCCCAGGGCCGGCGCCCAGGACCCGCTCACCGAGCAGTGCTCCGCCTGCTGCACCCGGATGCCCAGGATCCTCTCGGCCAGCAGCTTCAGCGACGGCCTTCCGCTCTGTGGGGCGGGGATGGCACAGCCACGCTGGGAGGGGCCCCCACCCGAGCGACCTTTCCGGGACCGCCTGCGGCTGGGGACGGGCTCTGCCCTCAGCCCCTCCGCCGGTCTCCTCAGAGACCCGAGGCGCACGCAGCCGGCCCGGTCACGCCAGCTCCCACGGGAGGCCTTCAGGACTCTCCTTCCCCCTCGGGGCTCCTTCTAGTCGGGTCCGGGGGAAAACAGGAGCCCCCAGGGGCCAGCAAAGCCACCACGACGTGGGGGACCGCACGGACGCACCCGCACTTGGCTCTTGAAGGGCTTGTACTTCTGCGTGTCCCGGATCTTCCTCTTCGGGTGATCGAGAAAGAGCACCTGGAGGGAAAGACCACGGCCGGCCCGTCGCCGTGAGTCCGCAGCCGGGACTCACGTTTTCCAAACGACCCCTCACGAGGAGTTCCGGTATCACATGCGCGAATGAAGAGAGAAACGGCTGTGACCTTGAACTTCTGGGGAAAGTCTCACGCTGGCTCCAGAGGGAGCCCACAGCGAGAGCCACGTGGACAAAACCGGGACAGTGGGACCGGGAGGCGGGAGCGGGCCAGTCCCCGCCCCCCAGCGGCCGGTCTGTCCTGGGGGCAGAGGTCGGGACGCGGTGCGCGGGGCCAGCCGCGCAGGGCGGGCTCCGGTTCTCCTGCCCACCGTCCTCCTCAGGCCAGACCCTCGGGGAACAGAGGCTGCAGGCCCCGCGGCCTGGGATTCCGGGGCGGGACCCCCGAGCTCGGCCACCACCCGCCCTGAGTTCCCCGCCGCGGCCACTGGGAGCGGGCGAGCGCAGCCTAGTGGCCCCAACGGCTCCCCGACAGGAGGGGTCTGACCTTGCGGGCGGGGGCGGCTGCGCCCCCATGGAAAGTGCTGGCGCAGTGGGCGGGGCCAGCTCTGCTGCCCAGCGACACTGTGGAGGCGCAGCCTCAGCCTCGAAGAGGAACGCCCTCTGCTGGGGGGCGCCCAGCCCCTCCAGAGCACAGCACAGGGCGCTGGTGGGAGACTAACCCGCCCCCTGCCCTAGCGCGGTGGACGGGGTGGGGGCCGCACCTTTAGGTCGTTGTGCAGAGCGTGTCCCACGAGGACCCGGCCCCTCAGCATCTCCGCCACTTCCTTCTGCACGACTTCGAACCGCTCTCCTGGAACCGAACCGCAGCTTCGCTGAGTGACGGGCACCCGGGGCTGGCCGGCGGAGTTCCGACCCAGGACGCGGGGCAAGCTGCCCCGGGCCCACAGGACCCGGCTGAGGCCAAAGGCCACCCCACCCCCCACCAGGGACACGGGCCCGAGCACCAGCGAGTCTGCTGAGGAACCAGGCTCCTGCTTCCCACCTCTCCGCACGGGGGGAGAACAGACCGGGCCTTGGCTGCGGGCGGCCGAGAGGGCAGCCCGGCCCACGGGGCTCTGGGGCCTCTGGCCTGCTGTCGTGGGCGCCCCTGGGGGGCTGCTCCCACCCCCCAAGGGAGGAGGAGGGCTGGCACCCTGTGACTCCGCCCCGACCCCCCCCCCCCCACAGCAGGACCAGGGGCAACGCAGGGTCCATGTCTCCTGGGTGCAGAAACCTGGGGGGCTGAGGAAGGGGACCCAGTGGCCGTCCCTCACAGAGCAGCGGCCTCAACTCCCCCATTTCTAGGACCTCCTGGCCCCCGACCGTGGCATCAGGTAGATGCCACTCTGCTCCCCCCCCCTCAACAGCCAGCCCACCAGCAAACCGCACAGACCGGGCCCGGGGTGTACCTGCAGCTGGGCCACACGCTGTCACCTCCCACACCTGCCTCCCGACCAGGTCACCAGCTCTGCCCCGTCCTCCACCCCCACCCGCAGGCCCTGGAGCCCATCCTCACAGCCGGTCCTGGCCCCTCCCTGTGCATGGCCTCCCCAAGTTGTCACAGGTCCCCAAGGACCTGTCTCACCGCCCCCCCCACCCCACTGGTCTCCAGCTGCCCCTGCTGCCAAGCGACACAGAGCAACTCAGGGACAGCGTCTGGTCTCCAGGCCGGGCGGGACCCACCACTCTGCAGGTGCTCCGGCCGGATGCCGCTGACGGCCGTCCGGTAGTCGGTCACGGGCCGGGCCGGCCGGATGTACTTGTCGTAGACGCACTTCCCGTACTGGTTCACGACGGACACGCGGGCGGCGGCGCTCTCCTCCCCCGAGGGGCCCACGCCCACCATCTCACAGTCCATGGCCACCGCTCTGGTCAGGCTGCAGGGGACAAAGATGCCCGTGTGTGTGGTCAGCACGGCGGGACGCTGGAGAGGGCGCCAGCAGGACGGCTGTGATGGGCGGGGCAGCTCCTCCAGAAGGCCCCGCCCCCCTCCCCGGGCCCTGCCACGCACCCGCCGAAAGCCTGCTGCTTCTCCAGCGCCAGGCCGCCGTCCTTGCCCCCCAGCCGCTGCCTTGCTACCCGAGCGGCCTCCGGGCCTATGGCTGCTTCGATGTCCGCCGGGTCCACATCGTCGAACCAGATGTCTTCTCTGCAAGGCAGAGGGGCAGGCTGACCGTGCCGTCCGGGCAGACGCCCAGCGGCTGGCGGTCGGGGGTCGGGAGCTGCAGGTGGCGTGGCCAGTGCGGGAGGGAGACCTGCACCCCCCCCGCCCCCTCCCCCCCTCGACCAGGCCAGCGCCTCCTGTTCCATTGCAGAGCGCCGTGTGCCCACTGCCGCCCACCCAGGAGACGCCGCAAACCCACGGCGATGAAACAGACACGCAGACCCCACCGCGCAACCCCGACCCTTCCCGACCACGCCTGCGGCGTCATGGACACCGCCGCGTCAGCGTGCCGCCTGGCTCCCCTCCTTCCCCTCCCGGCTGTCAGCCTCAGCCCGGCGGGCCTGCGGTAGCCACTCTTCCTCCGGGCGGCGTGTGCGGCCTGACCACACGAGCCAGGCCCTCAGAGGCTGCTGCTCTGCACCCCTGAGCAACTCGACACCCGGCGACACCTGGCCTCTGGCGGAGCCGTTCAGAGGCGGCCCCTGCCTCTGGGCCCTGCCCGTCAGTGACCGCCAGAGGACCCAGCGAGGAGCTGCTGGGCGCCCAGCATGCCGCATCTCACCCCAGCCCTGCAGACAACTCACGTGACCAGAGGGTGGCTCGGGGTGGTTTGGTCAGGAACTTGCCCGAACCACCCAGCTCTCGAGATGCAGGAACTGGCCTCAGACTCCAGGGAGTCTTCCTGGCTTGCACTCGTTCATCCCACACACCTCCACGGGGGGCACTGGGAGCCCGCTCTGCCCCGCCCTGCCCCACCCCGCCCTCAGTCTGCCGGCCTTCCAGGGGCAACAGGGAGCGGGCGCAGAAACACACAGTGCAGGGCGCAGGAAGGGGGGCTGCGGGAGCGGCCCCCTGAAGCAGCCGGGCCCTGGCTGCTGTGACTGTCCTCGGCGTGACGATGGCCGAGGCTGGCTGCAGCCAGTGGCAGAAGAGGCGGAGCCGGCAGTGTGGCTGGTCCTCCGGGGGCACTTACTCAGTGGGCGGGGCTGGAGTCACAGGGGCGGTCGCCTCCTTCGCCTTCCACTTCTTACACGAGAGGTCCCCTTGTGTTGGAGCAGGGTCACCGCTGGTCCTCCTCTTGGTCCCCTTCTCACCATGCTCGGCTCCGCTGCCCTGTGCGGGGGGTGCGGGAGCAGCGGGGCCCGCCGGGGCCTCCTGGTGTGCCTTCTCCGCACCCGTCCGACCTCTCTTTGCCTTCCGGCTCCGGGGGAGGGTTCTGGGCTGCTTTTCGGAGTCCGCCTGAGAGGCAGAGGCAACAAGAGGCTTTTCCAGCGCCTGCGGTTTCTGTTTCAGCAGCTGATGGGAACCAGAACACAGTGCATGATGACGTTAACTTGGATACCACGCACGAGAGTGAAATAACCTACACGTGTCTCCGTAGACACACACACACACACACACACACACACCCCAGCCACATCTCGACGCACGTCCCACGGGCGTCCCTGAGACTCGTTCTCCCACGGCCTGGGGACGGCCCCCTTCACTCTCGTCTGGGAGCCACTTCAGGCGAAGCGACTGCTTCCCCTGTTAGGGCGCAGAACCGGCCAGCTCAGGTCCGCACCGCCACGCCCCGGTGAGTAAATGAGCTCAGGCCCCTTCACTCGGGGCCCGAGGGAATGCTGAGCGGCCGGCTTTCGCGTTTGCGGTTAACTGAGAGTGCACCCCAGAGTCGCCTCCTCCAGGCGTCCCGGCTGGCTGCGGCCGTGAGGGTCCCGGGAAGATCTTCGTCCCCGGACGCCCTGGCAAAGCTCGCGCAGTCTTCCCGCCGGGAGCATCCCTTCCGCTCTATTTCGCTTCCCGCTCTTGAAACCCAGAGGCCGAGTCACGGCTCCAGGAGCCGGGGAGGACCCCGCGTGGCCCGCGGGGGATTTCATGGGTCCTGTCCGGCAAGGCAGGAGCCGACGGGACCTCCACCCGAGACGCCACCGAGCAGGTTAAAAAGCTCCAGCGCAGACTCCAGAAAACGGTCAGAGAGACTCGGGTCAGCAGCAGCGAAGAGCATGCGCTCACGCCAGTTGTGGGCTCTGCACCGGGCCCTGGAGCACTTGCTGGGTGGCCGGGGGCCCCGTGCCTCCATTCTCTGCCTCGAGTTCCTCTCTGGAACCCCCCCTCCCCCCGGGCAGCCAACTCCAGGGGCGCTGGGGAGCCCCTGTCAGTGGAGCGCAGGGACCAGCCCAGGGCAGAGAGTAAGCACTGCGCACTGACCCCGGACAAGGCGGAGGGATTCAGCGTCGGACTCTGGTTCTGCAGCCCCGTCTGCAGCCCTGGGCAAGCCGACCCTTCAGGGCTCGTTTCCTCGTCGGTAAAACGGGGACGGTAGAGGAGGCCCGACGGACAGCGCGGGCGTGACTGTGAAACACGCACACACCCGGACCCTGTGACAGGGTCCGCACATTTTAAGAGCTCCGGGGGCAGCTGTCACCAACTACTCAAAACCCCCGTGCGTCTCGCTGCTGGGGTCTTCCGCGCCGAGTTCCTGCCATTTGCCTGCCCTGAGGTGGTTCACAAGCCTCCAGCAGCCCCTTCTCCAGAGAAAGTCGTGTTTACAAGGTTCTACCCCAACCCGCCTCCAAGGCTCGCTTTCCGCCCCCCCCCCGGCCCCCCCGAGTCTTGCTTCTGTGTTCCGTCCGCGGAGGACCGGGAAACCAGCGCTGCCCGACTCTTACCTCCTGCAGCGCCTTCCAGTTCTGGGAAAAGTCCTCCGGCGCCTTCGGAGGGCGCAGCTCAACCTTGGGGTCGCCTGGCGGTCTCTTGCTTGCATCCGGCGCTTTGCTTTTCCAGAGCTTCTTTTTTTTCTTCCGCGTTGGCTTCTTGACAAGCCCTGGCTCAGCCGCGGGGTCGCCCGGGGCGCTCTTGGGGGTCGGCGCCTTCGCCTTCGCCTTCGCCATCCCGGCCCCACCTAGGGCCTGAGCAGAGCGCGGCGTCCAGGCCTGGGCCGGCGGCAGCCGGCGCCCCCGCCCGCCCCAGCCCGGCCCCCGCGCCCACTCGGGGCGCGCTGTCCTCGGCTCCGGGCTCTGCCACCCAACTCACCAGCTGCAGGGAAACCGGCCTCCCGGACCCCGCTAGCGAATCCGGAAGCGACCCCCGGCGGTCTAGACACGTGCAGCCCAGCCCCCGGAAGTGCTCTTTCCGCCCCGACCCGCCGAAACCTGGCCCTCGCCTCTAGTTCCGCGCCTCTAGTTTGCGCGCGCGGGAAAAGGGTCACCACCCCAGCGGGCGGCGCTCGGGGTCAGCGACCCAGGACTGGGTTGGGGAGAGCCCAGGATCCCACGAGAGCCGGGACCGGGATGAGAGACGCAGGCGCCGGACGGGAGCTGGGGGGCCGCTGTCCGTGCAGCACCGCGGCCGGGCCGGTGGAGCACCGCGCGCGGGCGGCCGCGAGGGGGCGCCCGCAGCCAGGCCTGGGGAGCCCGGGCTGGTCCCGCCGGGCGCTGCTGTCCCGGGCTCGGCGTCCTCGATGTCCCCGGCGTCTGCCTTAGGGAATGGGGAAACTGAGGCCCAGGAGCGGGAGGGGGCCCCAGGCCACACAGCCTGGCTGGCCAGAGCCATGGCGCTGCAGAGGCACCGCAGTGACACCCGATAACCGCAGCGTTGTGACGGTTGTACCCTAAGAGTCATTACGTTCCGCGGCACGGGGAAGCAGAAAGCGCCGGCTCCCCGGCCTCGGCCCTGGGCTGCACCTTCCCAAACAACGCGGGCCAGGCTCCGTCCACCCGCCTGACGTAGCCGCCCGAGGCTCCACGGTGTGGGGGGGCCGTCTGCGAAGTGCAGGTGGTAACTCGGCGAGGCGCTTCGGGATAACGGCGCCACCGCGAAGATGATGACAGGGGGTGCAGCGAGGTGGACGGGGGGCAGGTGCCCAGACAGATGCAGGACACCCAGAGAGGTCGGAGTTCCGGATAAAGGACCATTTTTTTAGGATGAATACCTCCCACACAACGGTTGCAGTATTTGAAATTAAAATTTATTTGAGATTCACATTGAACAGGCTGTCTTGAATTTTATTTTCTAAACGTGGCAAACCTTCCCGGGAGGGCCGCTTAGAGGGGGGCGTGAGGGAAGGCTGCTTTGGGGAGCCGACACGTGAGCGTGGAGCCCAGGGGTTGAGAGACCCGCAGAGCCCTGCCTGGCCAAGCCCGCTGAGCCGGCGGGGAGGGCCGGCGCTGTGGGCAGAGGGGCTTCCCGAGCCTCGGGGGCTGTGGGAAGGAGTTTGGACACGGGATCCTAAGGGCGAAGGGGTGAGGGGCTGCTTGTGGCCCGAGCAGCGCAGTCCGACTGGAGCTGCAGGAAGGTCCCTCCCGCCGGGTATGAGGAACGGGGAGGGGAGTGGGGGGCAGGGCAGCAGAGACCAGTCGGGACGGACTGCAGACGCCTGCCCAGGCCCCCGGTGGTGTGGCCGGGCTTCAGGCCGCGGGTCAGCGTGGGTCACAGGGAGAGAGTGCGAGGAGACAGCACCCGGGGTGAAAGTCCTGCGAGAGATAAAGGGGCTGCAGCACGGGCTGGGGGGCGGGCCCAGAACGCAGGGACGGGCGTCCACCCCGATCTCCGAGGGCGGGGGAAGGGCAGGAGAAGGGGCAGGCGGAAAGTTACCGACTGGGACCCCTTTTCACCGCCCACTGGGCTGTGTCCTGGGGGTGTGAGGGACTGTGACCTAGTGCTGTGGAGAGTGTGACCAAGAGCCTCCCAGGCGGTGGCGTGGCCACCGGGCGGCCGGCGGTGCTGGGTGCAGCAGCACCCCACCGGCCTGGCTCCGGGACTCCGTCTGTCGTGAGCAGGCACAGAGGGAGTGACAGCTGAGCTGGCGGGGAGGGCATGGGGGGGGGCTGTTCCCCAGGGGCAGGTCCTGTGGGGGCGGGGCTGAGTCTACCCTGGGTGAGGAAGGGGCCAAGGAGAGGACAGCGGAAGGTCCCGGAAGGCAGGGGCGTCCAGGGAGGAGGGCGGCTTGTGGGACGCCTAACAGGGGTGAGAGTCGCCCGGCCTCCGTCACCCGGCCAACCCCCCAGGCCGGAGCTCCCTCCCCGCCCTCCTCGGGGCTGGGTGCCTGTCGCCCCCTCCCACCCCTGCCGCCCCGGGGGCGGGCGGGGAGGACCCAGCGGGAGGAGCCTGGGTGGCTGCCCACCCCTCTGGCCCGGGCCCCGGCCGGGAGGAAGCTCCCAAGAGTAAACACAGCCGAAGGGCCTGCCTGCCCAGCGAGGTCCATCACATTCCTCTCGACCTGACCAGGGCCAGCTGGCTGTGGTCAGGATGCGGGAGCCTCGCCCCTGCCCCCCGGGGGCCTGCGTGCGGGCAGCGCTCACCGCCACGCTCCTCCTGGGTTGCTGGGGGCTCCCCGCCGTCCCGCAGGTGGGTGCATGGCAGAGCCCGGGGGGCCGGGCTTTCTGGGCCTGGGAAGCGGCCCCCTGGGGAGAGAGGAGGCAGCCTCGGGGTGTCCTGTAGGCTCCTGGGTTCCCACTGGGCGGGGGATGAGGTGTGCTCGCGGAGGAGGGTGCTGGCGTCTCAGGTGGTCTGCTCGGCCGGCCCCGTCCTCACGGCACCCCTCTCCGCGGCCCCCCCCACCCCTCCGCTGCCTTGCCTTGTGCCCCTCCCCCTCCCTGGTGTGCCCCCTCGCTCCTTACCCTCCCCCCCCCTCTCCTGCAGGGGCTCCTTCTGGCTCCGAAGCCCGAGCCCGAGGAGGTGACTCCGCACCTGCGCCCCGACGCCCCCTCGGAAGGTGCTTGTCCTCACGTGTCCCTGGCCAGGGCAGCCCCTCAGAGCCTGGGGGTGTCTCGCCGTGGGGCCCAGGTCTGGGGTCTTGGGTGGCTCTGCCGGGAGGGGTCAGGGTCGCGGCCATGGCCCCGGGGGGTGGACTTCCTGCCGAGTCGATAAGAGCTGGCCGGGTGTCCTGGACCGAGCTGGGGCCTGCCCGTGGGGTCTGCTCAGTGTCTCCAGAGCACGGCGCCCTGGGCCTGCGCTGAGCCGACTCCTGTGGGCTTCCGGCCACGGGTGTTGACAACATCCCCGGGGAGAACGGCCGGCGCCGGGTCCAGCCGCAGCCGCAGCCCCGCCCCCGTCCCCGAGCACTGGTCTGCGGGCCTCTCCAGGGCGCCAGCTTCCTCCAGAGTGGGGCCTCTGGCGCCTCTGATCAAAACGCTGGTGGGGACCTGGGGGTCCCCCTTGGAACCGGCTTCTCTGAGTCGGGGTGAGAGGCACGCTGACCAAGGCCTGGGGCTGCAGGGGGAGGGGGAGGAGGGGCCCTTGCTGGGGAGGGGTCCCACAGTTTCTGGGGGACCGGGGCTCTCCTTGCCATGTTGGGGTGGCCTGTTCTCCAGCGTGTGCTCAGTGTGGTGTTTGGGGGCGACCAGGACATAAAAGCCACACAGTAGCCCCCCCACCCCAATCCCGCATTGCCCCCCACACCCTGAGACATCCGGTCACTCGTGGGACGGGGGCCCATGAGGAGCCTGGAGAGGCCGTACCCCCCGGGCGCAGCCGTTTCTGCCCTGTCAGCTGGCCGGCGCCCTCAGGTCTAACGGTCACCACGTCCAGTGACATGACAGAGCTTGGGGTGTCCCAGACCTCTGACCTCTGACCTCTGACCTCTGAGTGTGTTTGCCCCTGAGGGGTCAGGGGGCCCTGGGTGTCTGAACCTGTTTTCGGGTGTCTGTGGGTGCTGAGAGGCCAGCTCCCGGGAGGCTGGGGGTGGGGAGGACAGGCAGGCCACTGTCACCGCGCCCCCAGGAGGCAGGTGCCCTCCTGTCCCCCACCTTGCCCACGAGGAAGCTGGGGCTCGGGCCTACCCACGCCCTAAGTGCCAAGTGACCAAGACAGGACTCCATCGCTGTGTCTGCCAGCTCAGGAGCCCAGGGGGGCAGCGTGGCCTGGCCTTGTGGACCGTGAGTGCCACCGGGGGGCTGACCCGGCGGCTAAAGCCGCAGTTTGCCTGCTTTCTAGAACCTTTGGTCTCACCCTGCCTCTTCCTCCCCGGCCAGGCCCTCCTTCCTCTCTCGCCCAGAGCCACCCCCTGCCCGTCCTGCATCTGGGGCTGCTGGTGGCCGTTGGCCCCGATGTCCACCAGGCTCACCGGGAGGACACGGAGCGGTACGTGCTCACCAGCCTCCACGTGGTGAGTGCCCCGCGGGGCGGCGCTGACCGTGGGGCCTGGGGCTCCTGGAGCATTTCCACCAGCGCCTGATCCGTCCTCCGGAGCCTCCGCCCACAGGGTGTGTCCCGAGGGCGGGGCCTGGGGCTCAGCTGCCGGAGTGCACTTTCTGAGTGGAACCTGCTGTGACTCTTGCGCTGGGTCACACTCGGGGCCCAGGGCTGTGGGTGGGGAGAGGGGTCCACTCCTTCCTTCCCCATGCCCCTCTCACCAGGGGTGGAGGTGGGAGAGGTCCCCTCTCCACTCCCCAGTGCACCCGGCAGCCCCTTGCTACTTGGGTCCCTTGGCGGGGGGTGGGGAGACCCTCACGTGTGGCTTCTGCCCCAGACCCAGGGGCACCTCGGTCAGTGCAGCCTGCTGAGCGGCGGGACTGCCCCCGCCGGCTCCCCCAGCTCTGCCGGCCTCCCCGCGCCTGGCCCCCCGAGGACAGGTGGGGCAGCGGGCAGGACTCCCCGTTGTCGTGGGGACCCAGAGGCAGCAGAGAGACAGGCGTGTGGACAGCCCGAGGGTCCCATCCCGTCTCGCAGACTCTGCACACCCTGGCCCGGCAGTGGGAGAAGTCACACGTGAAACATCCCCCGACAGGGCCGCACTCCGGGCTGTGGGACGCTTGCCCACCGTCTGGAGGTCATTGCCGTCACCAAGCACGGCGCGGTGCAGCAGGACCCGGTCTGAGAAACCCACGCCACCATACACTCCCGGTTAAAAGCAGTTGGGCCAGAGGGGTTTTAGGAGCATTTAGCAAGTTAATCTCAGCTGCTGACGGACAGCTCCAGGCCCCGCCCCCATCCCCTGGGCGTCTGCAGAGAGGGGAGGGGCGTGAGGAGGGGCTGGCTGGCGCTTGTCCCCTTGTAAGTGGGCCCCTGCATGTGGGGTACGTGGCACCACTTGGTCCCCAGCCTCAGGATGCCCGCCAGTCTCGGAGCCCCAACCTGTCCCTGGGTCTCGGGGCCACACCCACGTGGCAGCCCCGGGCAGGTTCGGTTCACGGGCAGGTTCACGGGCAGGATCCGCCTGTTCAGGTTTCCGCGGCAGCCCCGGCGGTGACAGACATTTCCTCCGAGTCACTCTGAGGCCGCTGCTTTCAAGCTTTGGGGGTCTCCCCACTTGGAACAGGCTGCAACTTGGTCACCACGCCCGTGCTCCCTTGGGTCCCTCGCCTTGTGTTCCGAGGACGGAGGACAGCCGGGTGGTCGCTGCCTGGCGGGCTCCTGCCAGATGGTGGGGTCGTGGTGGTGGCCGCTGTCCATGTGGCCCCCACCTGGCACCCAAGGCATTGTGCCTGAGGCTGTCCCCGGCCTCGGAGGCTGCATCTGCGATCCACAGAGGCCCCGAGGTCCCGAGGCTCGGGGACAGGGCCCTGGGCACGAGGGCGGCAGCGGCGGAGCCTGGGGCAGACTCGGGTCCCCTGCGGCCAGCGGTCACCGTGTCTTCCTCCGGGGTGCCGTGCCTCAGGCAGAGCACAAGCTGGTGCCGACCACCATCAGCTTCTTTAAAAAAAAGAAGATTTTATTTATTTATTTTTTAGAGAAGGAAGGGAGAGAGAGAGAGAGAGAGAGAAACATCAATGTGCGGTTGCTGGGGGCCGTGGCCTGCAACCCAGGCATGTGCCCTGACTGGGAATCGAACCTGCGACGCTTTGGTTCGCAGCCCGAGCTCAATCCACTGAGCTACACCAGCCAGGGCCACCATCAGCTTCTGACAGACGCGTGCAGAGAGCCGGCGGGGGCGGCCAGGAAAGGGCTCTCGGGTGGGGCCGGGCGGGTGAAGCCAGCAAAGGCGGAGACAAAGCTGTTTCGGGAAAGACGGGCGGCTCGGAGCCAGGACAGGGCCACCGGCTGCGAGAGAGGCAGTGTTTGAACGGAATGTTCTAGACGGAGGACCGTCATCCCCGTGCTGTGGTTTCGGGGTTTCTTCTCCCTGCGCAGCCGCTCTGACCGTCTCCCAGCCTAAGGACCAGTGTGCTCTGGGGGCCCCCACCCCGGCCACGCTTGGGGAGCCCTCTCCCCGGAGACCCCAGAAGTCAGCAGCTGAGGGAGGCTGGCGGCTCCCCGCCCCCCAGCTCACCCCTCCCGCCCGCCCGCCCTCCCCCCAGGGTTCGGAGCTGCTGCGGGACCCGTCCCTGGGGGCCCAGTTCCGGGTGCACCTGGTGCGGATGGTCACCCTGACGCAGCCCGAGGTGGGTGCCGCGCGGGAGCCCGGGGTCGGTGGGAACCGGCTCTGTCTGTCCCCCTCGCTTCTTCCTGCGGCGGCCCAGGGTGGCGGGCGGGCGCTGGGTCTCCTCGCCGGTCCCGCGTGGCAGGGGGGGTCCCGCAAACGAGGGCTCCGTCTCGGGTCCCCAGGGCGCGCCGAACATCACGGCCAACATCAGCTCCTCGCTGCGGAGCGTCTGTGAGTGGGGCCGGGCCGTCAACCCCCAGAACGACTCGGACCCCGCGCACGCCGACCTGGTCCTCTACATCACCAGGTAGCCCCGCCCCCTCGGCCTTCCGGTCCTCCGCACCCCGGGCCCCGCGGCAGGCCGGCCGGCCGGCGCCTCAAGGGTCTCTTCTGTGTCCCTGAGGTTTGACCTGGAGCTGCCTGACGGTAACCGGCAGGTTCGGGGGGTCACCCAGCTGGGGGGCGCCTGCTCCTCCTCGTGGAGCTGCCTCATCGCTGAGGACACTGGCTTCGACCTGGGGGTCACCATTGCCCACGAGATCGGGCACAGGTATGTGGCCCCACGAGCTGCGGCCCAGCCCAGGCCAGGGAGCCGACCGGGGCCCCTGGGGCGCAGGGGAGGTTGGGGCTGGCAGTGGGCCCTGGCGCCGGAAGGAGCCCGAGGCTTTAACCCCAGGGAACCAGGAGTGTGTGGGGGGGGGGCAAGGAAAGGGCTGGGACTCTGACACTTCATGATTCCTGCGTAATTAAAGGACACTTAGACAAGAAATGAGCAAAGCAAAGTTAGCCATCAAAAAATAAGGTTTGGCCCTGAATGGTGTAGCTCAGTGGATAGAGCAGTGGCCTGCAAATCAAAGCGTCACTGGTTCGATTCCCAGTCAGGGCACACGCCTGGGTTGCAGGCCAGGTTCACAGTAGGGGGCGTGCAAGAGGCAACCACACACTGATGTTTCTCTCCCTCTCTCCCTCCCTTCCCCTCTCTCTAAAAATAAACAAAAAAGAAAATAAGGGTTGTAAGACACTCAAGTGAAGAAAAATTGAGCTGTAAAAGTTATCCCCGCCCTGGCTGGCGTAGCTCAGTGGATGGAGCGCGGGCTGCGAACCAAAGTATTGCAGGTTCGATTCCCAGTCAGGGCACATGCCTGGATTGCAGGCCACAGCCCCCAGCAACCGCACATTGATGTTTCTCTCTCTCTTTCACCCTCCCTTCCCTCTCTAAAAATAAATAAAATCTTTAAAAAAACAAAACACTTAAAAAAAATTATCCCCAATCCCGCTGCTTAGAGGTAACATCTGCTCACACATTATGCTTAAAATTAGTGTTTCTGTACGCAAACACAGTTCTGTATTTGCAAGTATTTGGGGATCATACTGTGTTTCGGTTTGTTACCTGCCTTTTAATGCAACCGTATATTTCTCCCGAATGTTTTCCCAAGTCTTTCAAACAATTGTTTTTTGCCCTGGCTGGCGTAGCTCAGTGGATTTATCGCGGGCTGCGAACCAAAGTGTCGCAGGTTCAATTCCCAGTCAGGGCACATGCCTGGGTTGCAGGCCATGACCCCCAGCAACCGCACATTGATGTTTCCCTCTCTCTCTCTTATCCCTTTCTAAAAATAGATAAATAATATCTTTGAAAAAATTGTTTTTTTGTATATACCCTAATTTCTTTAATTAATTCCCTACTGGGATATTTATGTTATTTCCAAATTTTTCCAATTATGAACAATTATGCATTTTTTGTCTCACACTTTTATTGATTTTATTTTCCATTTATTTTTTCTCCGTATTTTATTTACTTTTAATTTATATTTTTTGACTATGCTGTTATAGGTGTCCTGATTTTTCCTCCTTCCCCCCTCCCCCCAGCACCCCCACTCCCTCAGGCCATCGCCCCGCCCTCGTCTGTGTCCGGGGGTCACACGTGCACGTTCTGTGGCTGCTCCATGTCCTGTGCTGGACTTTGTGTCCCCAGGGCTGTTCTGTGACACCTGCTCGTGCTTCTCGGTCCCCTCACTTCTCTCCCCACCCCCAGCCCCTCCCCTCTGGCATCCCTCTAAACGCTCTCCGCGGCCACGATTCTGCCTCTGTTCTTCTTGTTTGCTCAGTTTGGTTTTAGATTCAATTATTAATAGATATGTATTTTTTGCCATTTTTGTTCATAGTTTTGACCTTTTTTATGAAATAAGTTCCTCTAACATTTCATGTAATAATGATTTGGTGATGATGAATTCCTTTAGATTTTTCTTATCTGGGAAGCTCTTTATCTGCCCTTTGATTCTAAATGACAGCTGTGCTAGGGAGAGTAATCTCGGCTGTAGGTCCCTCCTTTTCATGCCTTTGAACACTTGTTACCAGTCCCTTCCAGCCTGCAAGTTTCTTTTGAGAAATCAGCTGACAGTCTTATTGGAATTCTGTAGGTAACTGCTTTTCTCTTGCTGCTTTTACGGTTCTCTCTTTGTCTTTACCCTCTGGCACTTTAACTGTGGTGTGTCGTGGAGGGGCCTCTTTGCATCCATCTGTTTGGGACTCTCTGTGCTTCCTGGGCTTGCATGTCTGTTTCCTTCACCAAATGAGGGACGTTTTCTTTCATTATTTTTTGAGATATATTTCCAATTTCTTGCTCTTTCTCTCTT